CCATTTTTAAAAACACACACGTCATTTTTAAAACACACGTTTTTTAAAACATCCACGCCATTTAATATACACACATGATTTTTTTAAAGCACATACCATTAAAACGCACAGTCACGCCGTTTTTTTTTTAAATGCACACATCATTTTAAAACACACACGCCACGGCCTCCAATACGTACGTAATTTTGAATTATTAGTACGTTTTCTTCTAGTATACAAAAAATAATAAATTTACATTCCGCGCCTCGTAAACTTGACTGCTTTTTGTTACTGTTGTTGTGACCACGTGAGCTTACGTATTTATTCTAAACAGTAGAAACGCAACAGTAATAACGTCATACTTACGTGACCTTTATCAGGTGACAGTCCCGATGCAGCCATATATGTACTTCCGATTGATTTGATTTTCTCTATGCAACGAAACCGTTCTTCACTTAGCAACTGCAATATAATGTGAACTGTTTTTTAGTTCTGATTAAAGGTAATGTGCTAAATATGTCTTTAGACGAAGAAAACATCAGGTGTTGGATGTTGGACACATTATTAACATTAATTATAGAAGGCGGTCAAATAAATTTGAACGTGCTGAACGACGCCGCCTTCGTCGCCTGCGCACGCGCGGGAATTGAGTCAAGCGACAATAACAACACACACTCAAAACGCAAAGGTACATGGGTAGTCGCTTGTTTGTAAACAGACATGCTATGGTCATCTGACGCATGCGCAGGTGATGACCCCCCCCCCCCCGCGGGACAAGAACGTCATCATAATTTAATAGCCGACAGTGTTAGAATTGTCCAGTATCGCTAATTCGAAACTGTCGTTCAAGCAAATGATTTTCAGATGTCTGTGACATAGTTATTCACAAGTATTCCATTCAATTTTCGTAAGATCATTACAGTGAAATTTCGCATTGTAGCATATACGACCTGGAGCACAATCAAAGATGGCCGCCATTACATCACCAGTGCAGATTACACGCATGTCGTATCACAAGAACCACTTTTCACACAGTTTGACGTTTTATTGAGCATAAACACATTTCAACAATCAATCTAAATTGCTCTGCCCTGGATTCCAGTCATCCCGAGAAAATAAGAGATTTTCAGAAGAAAAAAAAATGCTGATTTAACCGGAACATTTCTAGAAATTGAATTGTGGTCACGTTCCTTATTGTCTGATAGATAACTTGTATCGTGCTTGACGAAGGCAATCCGATTTATGACTGAGACGACATCAAATTGTATAGAGTTCAATCAGTTTAATAACACTGAACTTGATTTTCGGAATTTAGCCAAGAGGCCATACCGGGAGAGAAGATCATAATGAGTTCTTTTGCGTACCTTAAACGTGATACAAACATACACACGTACGTAAGACGTATATTAGACTTGAGACATGGAAACATTTGATATGCCAGCTTTACTGTAGAATACTTTATGTTCTATTGGGATTTGATTTTCGCTGAACCATTTCTTCATTTTACAGTAGTCGCTAAAATGCTAAGACAATACTAGCCGCGTTTCGAGATATAAAGTGATACACTGAATTTGTGAGCAATATTTCACACTCGTGCTTAAAAATAAAATAATAAAATGAATATAAAGATAGGTATTATCAATGAACCGTTACTTATTAGTTCGCTCGCTGTGCAATATCTAGATCATGAACTCCATGGTAACAATGTGTAAATCCGTAGGTCATTAATGCAAGCTGTGGCTTTGAATACTGGTAATCAATATTTTCACTGAGCCTATTGCCTATAAATCGTGCGTCATGTACAAATGAAATGTCAACGAACCGGAAAAACAGCAATGCAAAAATTGAATTTGGTAAGTTGAAAACACCTTTTCTGTTACGCCGCGCCCTCTAGCGACGAAAAAGCTTTCGTGACGTCAAAATGTGATCGTTAAGCTGTGGCGTTCAAACGAGCAACTCTGATTGGTTGTGAAGTAGTTTGTTATTTGGTTTATAGTAAATCTTTTTAAAAAAATTCTTTATTAACGGAAAAACACAGATAAACACGACGATGCTGTTAGTTTCACAAGCTCAGAGGAGCTCCGTCTCTAGGGGGCGCGCCGTGTTAGAACGGTGTATTTTTATATATCTAAACGTACCTCGTCAAAATCTGCTATGATTTCGTTTAAGAGACGCAAGCATTCAACGCCCTGATTTTCAAAGTCCGACTGTGAATAGAAATCGGCAAAGTTTGGAATGGACGCAAACATCACTCCTATTCGCTCATGGGATTCAGAATACAGCTCCTATATTAAAAAAAATCAAAAACAAATCAGCGACATTAGGTTACACGTTTATGTAACTTTAATACTCAGCATAGATTGGCTTAAAAGTTTGTTTTTTATTGTCATTGCAAAAAAAATGAAGAAATTAAAAAAAAATCTCTGAAAATAGTAAAAATGGTAAACAGTGGAATTATCGTGGTGACTCACCAGGACTGTTTCTAATGTTCGATATTTTCTTTTTTTATTATCAAAAATAAAACAATGGACAATAGTAAATAATCTATACTCGGCTTTTTTATCAACATACACGTATTTGACTTTACAGCGACGTAGACAACTGAATGTGTGTAACATTCACTGCTTGTTTACATGAACTTCGAACTCACGCTTATAGTATGACTTTTTGAAACACGATTTACAAAATACATAATATTATACAGCTTACAGTGTATCGCCAATGGTATTAACTGGGATGTTTATACCCTACTTTATTACTAATAAATTGAAAACCCTAAATTCGGAACTTGAACCGACCGTGACCGTGACCGTGACAATGACGCGAGTTTGTCCAAGATGGCTGCCAATTTTCAAAACGGTGTGCATATCAAAAGCGGATTGTTTGTCACTCTATCGAGAGATGGGCTTAGAAAATATAACTGCTCTTTACAAGAAAACTTCGAGGTATGTAAACAATCGGTCTATATTCATCGGCTGTGGTGTATATGTATATAATCTCGTAATCAGTGCCTATTATTTGATCTGTTTTGTCGAAGCCACATGATTTAACAATGAGGTCAAAACCAGGCACCACCCCGCTGACAAGTGACACGTTAACTTACCTCATTCTGACGATCTTTCTCCAAAAAATGCTGAGCTACATGCTTTGGTAATATATTCCTCAGTAAATGCTTGTTGTGTTCTCGTAAGTCCGCCATGTCGTCCAGTTCACCCTTTGCCTGAATAAAATAAACATTGTCATAATTTGTGTCGCTACTTCTGGCGATAAATCTCAGGACACTGCACTGGAATTGCGCCCGCAAACGACAATGACTAATGTCTGTTTTAGGTCGAAGGAGGGCGCAGTACAGCAAGATGAAAAGATTGGAAACATAAAACAATTTCCCCCGTTTTATTTAAAGTATATGTACTTTTAAATGACTACATGTCAATCACAATTAATGAATTTTTTCTCCAATATGTGTATAGTTTGCTGAAGTCGTAACCTTTTTAAAACAGTTGTACAAATGAAGTGGTCTATTACGACATTAATTTTAATATATAGTTCATTTTCTGACAAGATGTGAATTGTGTAGTACCAGGTGAAGCACGCTCAAATTTCTCAATGCCTGAAAACATATGACGGGGAGAGTGTACTCTCTGAAGTAATCTGACACATGGCTGACCGGTGACGTGTTCCGTGAAAGAATCTTGAATATGCATGATTATAATAAATCAATTTCCCGATTACTAACGCGAAAGCGCTTCCATTGTTTAAAGTTTTCATTAAAGTCTTTGGCAGTAATGGTAGTAAGCCTTGAACTAGGTAAGTATGTCAATACTTACATCACTACACAATACTTATATTTTAGCGAGCAAACTACGTTGGCAACAAAATACAAATACATGTAACACGTTGTGTTTATTATATGAAGTCACCACAACTACAGTGATTCTACAGTATTGG